CTTTCCAGTGATAGTGACACTAACCTCGATTAAATAGAGAACACTTATAAGTCATAGGAGTGCTGCTGCAGTTTTTTCCACTCGTCTTTATTTAATTGTTTTATATACTCATTGTTACTTGGTACCCAATTGAGGGTAGTTGTAATACACTGTAAATAACTAAATATAAAAAAAGACAACCTGTGTTTTATGATTTATTTAAAAGACACCCTCACACTTTTGTGTCTACTTATTTCCCTTCTTCAATCATTTTTTCCGTCTCCCCTTTTATCAAGTTCATCATCATCGTCGGCTGGGAGAACTTAATAAGGTAAAATGAAACTGCACCAACATGATAACTCATCTCAATTGCCATGGTATGACTTGCCTGCGATGTTAGACACGTCCAGAGCTCAACATCTATTTAGTGACTACTGGCCCTTACAAGGGCCGATGAAAAAGATGAGTGCTATTTAGAGTGCCCTTGCTGCTAGGGCTAGTGTTTGCCCCTTGCTTGATTAACTCGTTGATGCGTCCTCTTCCAGTAGGATCTCAGTCTGCAGTGGTGCACTAACAGAGGGCATGTTCCGTTGTTTCTCCTTCTTCCTGGCACACCCTTGTAGTCTATACATATGCCTTTGGGGTCTGCAGTATCCAGTCATCAGTCCAACTATCATTCTAGTCCCAAAGAGAGGTTAAAAAGGTCACACTGACAAAACAACTAAGATCAGGCAGACCAGCAGCCCAAAAAGCATCAGTTTTTAACAAGGTCATTTCCAAAATAGTCAATGAAAGCATCTAAAATTTTAAAAACCTAGGAAACCATAACAACCTGGTAATATCTTGGATGTCTGTCAGGGAATAAAGTAATTTTGTGTAATGAACAAGCAGAAGAACTGGCCAAAGGAGGATCTGTAAGACTATATATGTGCCCAGAACCTATAATTGGGATAACAAGATCTATCTCCTTCATCACAGAATGGGTCCACACAAAATAAAAGGAGAAATGGACAAACTCCAGAGGTGTCAGACACAGTAAACACGGATTAATAAACCCTCAACTTTAGCACTCAGGACTCAGGAGAGTGAGTTATACATCAATCACTGGCATATGAGAAAACACCTAAACAACATGAATATATTCGTACATTCATATATATATATATAAAGGTTAAAAGAGGATACACTGACAAACTAATGCATGAAAAACAACAACCTGACATCATCTTGGGTGCCAGAGCACAAATGATTTTTGGGTAGATAATGAACAAGCACACAAACTGTCCAAAGAAGAATCTGCAAGACTTCTTACTCCAGAGAAACTGCCTTGAATCTATTATCAGGATAAAAAAGCTCAAACATAGACGCCTCCATCTCAAAAAGGATCCAAACAAAGAAAGAAATGGAAGACCTTCAGAGATGCCAGACCCAGTAAACTCATGATAACCCTCACGAAACTGGTTTAGTGACCAAGGCTTTTGGTGGCTGAGAAAGCCCGGTATTACGGGTGGAGCCGTTGGTTGAAATCCGTGGACTGATATCGAATAGCCGGACATTGATGAAGCGGGAGTCATTAGTGAACAAGGGGACTCGTGCAGCAGACAGCCACATGATGCTGCGAATACCCCTGTTGCTGTTGCTAGTGCTGACTGGTTGCTCCATTAGTGAGAGCTAAGACCTCGTCTACGCGTCTGAAATAAGCAAACTCATTGGCTGCGTGCACAGCGAGACCATTATTGAAGCAGTGGTGACCCTAGTGGATAAATTGATATCCCAGGTGGTCACCATAGCTGCTTTGTTAGGGTTAATCCCAAACTCGCTGTTTTGCACCATTAAGCCGTGAGTTTTAAACATTCTTGGATGATGACAGAGTGTTTTTTCGAATTTTTCTCTCGCAATCAGGACTATATCGTCCACATACCTCTAGCATTTTATCCCTAAAAACTGATCTAAGTAATTTGGAAATTTACAATAAGCCAGAAGGCACAAAACCCTCGCTTCTTAGTTGCCTCATCATCATCAATGGTGCCCAGCTAGAAGAAGAAAGAAAGGATCGCGGTGTACCGACCATTCTCAAACTTCTTTCTTCTCAACCTTGCATATGACTGTCATCGACTTTTTCACGCGCGTCTAAGGCAGGCGTCAAAAAGTTTGAAAGAGGACGTGAAGTTGATAGCCATGAAGTCATGATGTGTCATAGCCGTGTCAGCTTTCTTCACTTTTTTTTTATCGTCTTTGATGATCAATGAAATATCCTGGTGCAAAAAATCCTCAAAAAAATTTAGTTGTAAATTTCAGGATTGTTGCAAGAAAGAGATAGAAAGAGTAATAAATGAGAAAGACACAGAGAAATTGTGATAGAGTAAGGAAAAAAAGGATAATAATTGAGAACGAAAGGTAAAGTGGATAGAAATGAGGAGAGAAACAAAAAGATAAAAGAGGGCGTACATGAAAGAGATTACAATAGAAATTAAGATAAAACAGAAGGGACGAAGATAGATAGATGGAGGGCGAATTTGAAGAGAAAGGGAACGAGGTAGGCAAAAAGAGAATGTGATAACACAAAACCAGGCAATGAGAACGAGCCCGACGGCTGCTCTGGAAGTCTTTCTGAACCTACCATCACATATCTTCATCCAGGAGAGTACAGAGACAGAATTCATAGGTTAAAGCAGGTCCAGGCCTACTCGCATAACAAGAAGCAAATAAAGCTTGGGGGAGCATCAGGCAGACAGGGTTCTGCGGATGCCTGTTGATGCCATGACCCCTAAATTCTCCCAGTAGCAGAGTGGGAGAAAAGGATCCCAGTTAATGTTGGTATGGGTCAGGGGCAGGTATTTATGGAAATAAGGCAATATTCCATTGTCTTTCAAGTGGAGACAGTGGCTGTTGAACACTGTGCCAAGGAAATTAAAAGGCTAGGTATTATTAACAGATGAATAGCCATCTATTTGGATAGTAAGGCAGCACTGACCAATAAGGTAGTAAAGTACAAAGTCCTTTGGAATTCCATTACGGTCTTGTCAGATATTAAGGAAAACAACAAAATTAACTTTGTCTGGGCCACACCAGGACCACCGTGGTATACAGGACAAGGATCAATGAAGAGGCCGACAAATTGGCCAATGAAAGTTTGATGAGGACACCTACTGGCCCTAAACCTTATTGTGGCATACAAGTCAAGTGTATCCATCAGACAATGGATTAAAAATAAATCCTCTACGCAATGGGAAGCCCATGACAGAGGCACGTGAAAAAGTTCATCAAAGGACTAAACTAACGGCAGAACTATTAAACCCAGGACATGTAAGGCTAGAATAATAGTTGGAATGATAACTGGATTCTGTAGACACCGAGGCATATATACAGACTCAGTTGAAACAAGCCTGTGCACATATTGCCAGGAAGAAGAAGAGGCAGTGGAACATGTCCTCTGTTTGTGCGAAGGCTTATGTAGACTGAGATTCCTACTTGTGACAGAGGAAAAGCCACACAGGAGTCCTTGTAAAAGCTTCGGTATAGTAAAAAGCCTTAATGAGGAGCTCAAGACAACCAATACCGGTCATAGTGTGCAGGTCTTAAAATGTCTGGCTCCTTTTCAAATTTTAATCTTAAGATAAAACCACAGCGAAAGATAGATCTGATAAGAGCAAGGGAGAGTTAGATGAGTGATTCTTTGTGCTCTTGAGGCGTAATTTTCATTGATTCCATTTTTTTTTTTTTTTTTTTATAAGCTCACTTCTTAATTTTTCTCTCCTTCATGACTCTCAAGACTCAAGTCTCAAGACCCCCCCCCAAGCAGTTCTCTCGACGAGCCTAGGTGATCTGACACTACAATCAGTCCTCTTCACCAATGCCATCAGGTATAAACTATTTATGTTTGCATTATTTAGAATTTCAGATAGTGTGAAAAAAGATTAAAATTAATTGTGTTAAATATTTGCCTTCTGTTGCTATTACATGATTTATGTGATCCTGCACTGGCCTATGCTCAGTATAGTTATTACCATTTTTCTGGACTTTCTCATTGACCTATAATTTCCCAGTAGGCTTAATTTCTCACAATTTTAATTTATGCCTTGCCCACTCTTGCCAAAGTGGCCAAATCTTGAGGTTTGAACAAGAAATAACTTCCTCCTAAGTAACTTGGATAATTGTCATATAAGGCTGCATTTTTCCTATTAATTCCAATGAAAAATTTTTTAAATAACAATTATTTTATGGAAAAATCCAACAATCACATCATAGTACAAAGCAGAAAAAATGACGAGTGCTGCCATCTCTTCAAAAGTCTCCCCTACTTCAAATTTCTACAAGAAAAGAGTCTGAACATAATACAATATAAAACACAGCAAAAGCTTTCATTACAAAAATACTAATCTCATTAGTCATAAATAATTAAAACTGAAATAAACAACACCTTACATAAAAATCAAAGCAGTAGTTCTAACCTTGAGTTGTCTGAGTGTTGTACTCAGTTATTTCAAAATACATTTAAAAACCAAACAAATACATTAAAGTAGGTAAAAGATAAATTTTACATAAAAGGAAAATAAACACAATTTAACCTAGAACATTTTTTTTCTTGAAACCAATAATTCTAATTACCTTTGTTCTCTTTTATTTAAGAAAATATACCTTTATACATTTTATAATTTACTCCATAAATATATAATTGTAGTGTATATTTATAATATATATATACAAATTATAAGAAAGTAAACTAATCACAATTTTTTGTTAACATATGGTATTATAGAGGCTTTTGAAAAGAAGAAGAGAAAATGAATAATAAGAAAAAGAAAAAAATACGATACATTTAAAACTTTAAAATATGTAATTTTATGCTACATAAATTCAAAATGATTTTATGCAGGTGAAACATACTTTATACTTCAAAGTCATGGTAACTTTACTCCACCTTTTATTGTCAATGCAATACTTATATTATTAGTAAATTTAACCATTTTTTAAGCCTGAATATTCCCTATAATACCTGAAAAATATATTACACTAGTTGCTTTTTTTTTTACATTAATGGACACCTTCAAGGGGTGAATATTTTGTGTATTCGAACAACTGATCCCCTCCATATCCATAAAGCAGCTTTCCTTTTCCATTCTCATCGTAGTACGGATATCTGTATCTCGGTCTGAAAATATTCAAAATGTCAACTTTTTATACACATAATAAAGAAGATAATTTGTGTTTTTTATATGCTAAATAAAACAATAATATCACACAAAAAACTTTCACCCTTGTATAAAAATAACAGCGTTTATTAAATCTTTTCTCTATTAGACTCCAGAGGACACTTGTACATTGTAAACAACAGTCAAACAACTAAAGGACAAGCTATAATAAAATAATAAACTTCTTTTTTAATGTAAATATGTGTTGAGATATACGAGAAGAAAAAGTTTACTTGGAAAGATTCCAAACTGGCCCAAGAGCATTGAAGAGTAGATTTACTTGTTTTGAACGTACAATATGTTATTTGATTTACACTAAATGGTTTTCATACAACCCGCAAGAACTATAATTTAAAATAAAAATACCCAAGTAGTTCAAGTTTTCCATAACAATAAATTTTGTACTGAATATTTTTAAAATTGATTTTGAAAGTGGTCTAAGTTCACTTTATCGTCGGTTGAATTGAACAGTTGGCAATTGGATCAGATTTTTTACAGCAAATAATAATTAAAACGAAGAGCATGTAAGTAAACAGATAACCGAGTCGTACATGTATACATGTAACTTATGTAATACAATAATAATCAAGACCAGAAAGTAAATTATTTAGACAGTGGAATAATAGGTTTAGGACATCCTCGTGTTTGCAAATAAAACGAGAACCTTAAATTTTTCAGTTCTCTCCCAGAGATTTGCCAATTTAGCAAACCTTAATGATCCTCCAATTTTGCAAAGTTACTTCAGTCTATAAATAATTTCTCCAGTCATATCTTTTTTTCCTGTTTGGTATTGATATATGGCATGTAAACAGGAATAGAATCCATCTACCATTCCAATGGAGGAAGGTGTTACTTCAGGTTGTATAAAGTGAGAAAAGCAGGGGAGCGAGGAAGGTACCCTGTGAGACACCTGCTAGAATAAAACAGATAGTCGAAATTGAAATTTTGTGCAATAGAAGGAAAGATAGTGTGTTGTGCGGGTAGTTAAGTCGAATAAAGTGAGAAAAACAGGGAAGCGAGGAAGGTACCCTGTGAGACACCTGCTAGAATAAAACAGATAGTCAAAATTGAAATTTTGTGCAATAGAAGGAAAGATAGTGTGTTGTGCGGGTAGTTAAGTCGAATAAAGTGAGAAAAGCAGGGAAGCGAGGAAGATACCCTGTGAGACACCTGCTAGAATAGGACAGATAGTCGAAATTGAAATTCTGTGCGATAGAAGAAGATAAAAGGGTGTGTTGTGTGGGTAGTTAAGTCTAATAAAGTGAGAAAAGCAGGGGAGCGAGGAAGGTACCCTGTGAGACACCTGCTAGAATTGGACAGATAGTCGAAACTGAAATTTTGTGAAATAGAAGGTAAGAGGGTGTGTTGTGTGGGTAGTTAAGTCGAATAAAGTGAGAAAAAGAGGGAAGCGAGGAAGATACCCTGTGAGACATCTGCTAGAATAGGACAGATGGTCGAAATTGAAATTTTGTGAGATAGAAGGTAAGAGGGTGTATTGTGTGGGTAGTTAAGTCGAATAAAGTGAGAAAAGCAGGGAAGCGAGGAAGATACCCTGTGAGACACCTACTAGAATTGGACAGATAGTCGAAATTGAAATTTTGTGCGATAGAAGAAGATAAGAGGGTGTGTTGTGTGGGTAGTTAAGTCGAACAAAGTGAGAAAAACAGGGGAGCGAGGAAGGTACCCTGTGAGACACCTGCTAGAATTGGACAGATAGGCGAAATTGAAATTTTGTGAGATAGAAGGTAAGACGATGTGCTCTTCTAAAACTTTATAATCTTTATTGTGCTGACGTTAAGATCGTTTACAGTAAAGTTCTATGTTGTGCCTGCTTTTAAATGCCAATAAATGCTGTACTTTTTCCTCACATTCTTCCTAAGCTTCTAGTTAGAATCTGCAACAAGTTATTGAGAAATATTAAATTTGTTTAAAAGCCTGAATTGGGCGAGTTGAAGTTATATCGCAGTTATATTTTACTGTACTGAATGAGCTCTTTCATATCAAGCCGTTATGCTAAATTGCTAGTTTAGATCGAACCCGAAGGATAAGACGTCATTAATCAATTTTTCTCTCACAAAGTACCTTATAAAATTAGTCTGTAGAATACAGAAAAACATTGCGATTTTTTTTCTTTAAGGTAATCAGGTGTTTGATTAAAGATGATGGAAGTTCTAAGAACCTTGAGAAACTGGAGAATCAGCCAAAAAGAGAAATATTTTTATGCACGCGTACAAACATCACGAAAAGACCGAGTGTTGAAGGAAAAACTAAACACTAAAACTATAACAATCGGGTGAAAAGATTCGATTTCTATATATTTTCTTCTTTTTTTAGGGTCTTTTTTTCTCTAAGGACTCTTAAGGACCCTTCGATGCGAATTTTTACGATAAAGAAACTTTCGAAAATCACTTACCGTGAAGATTTGAGCGAAAGGAGGACAGCGGTAGAGGGCAGAGGCGGAAATGACTCTTTCACGCACGGCCCAGTGTATATCACACTTTGAAAGAATATTGTGTAATATTTAATTTGGGCATTTTTATTGTATATCGTCGGTCGAGTATGCATCAGTTCAAATTCCTTTAAATGTTACCATTTTGTTTAGCCAAAGCAGACAATTTATTTATCGGACATTGTCAATTTTTTCCCCTACTACTACTAAAATACTGAATATATTCAAACCAACTGGCAAAATACATTTTCTCACTGTTAAGTCCATGAGAATTTTCCGCATGAAAAAATTCGACAGAAATTATGTGATTTTTCAGCAAAAAGGCGGCAAAATTTAAACATATTGATTGGAAAAAAGTATATAATAGGGTGACTTACTGTAAACACTTAAAATATGAATATATTTATATTTATTTACTAAGAAAGCTAGTTTTTCATTGAGCCATTTATCCGTTTTTGTATATCAAATTTTATACATTTTCTATAGCTTTTGATTAAAAAAGGCGACGTTCTAAGAATAAAATCAAACTGAACCATATTTTATAATGTACAATACAGACACTTGTTAAAAGTGCAAGACAAGAAGAAAAAAATGCTTAAAAAATTATTTCTTACCTTTCGAAATACTGAAAGTTTGGAGCTTTCGGCTGTAAAGTCGCACGCACCATGGCAACCATCAGCGTCAAGACCTGTCAAAAGATCAGCAACAGGTCTCAAAATATTGCTAGACAAGTCTCAAATTAGACAGACTGGGTGTGGTTTAAGTGCTTTGAGTATGTCACATTGGCCAATATGAAATTTTCTCAATGTATTGAAATCTTGAAACAGGTAGGTCAGGTGCCATTTATCCGGTCTACCTGAGTTTTGATTTGTAACAGAAAATATGTTGGTACTTACTGTGAGGACTGCGAGGGCCCGCATTTCGGTGCGAAGACGTACTCCGTTTGCAACCGAAACTTCGTCAATAACAATCTTTCTCTCTTCTCCTAAAGGGAAAGCCACTACTTTCACTCGAGGAGGAAAGTGAGAGTTTAACGTTCACTCCCGGCTCCCACCACGCGTTCCTGCCTCCCACTACCGGACGCTTCTTCCTCACCAAGTTTCTAATCCGACTTCGGGACCGATTGCAAAATGAATTTCGACATTGTCTGGAAATTGGCCGAAAATAAAGCTAAAGTATTAGAAAAGGAAATATTTTATTAGATCTTCAGATTAACTCTAACTAACCTCTAGGCTAAGCGGCTTTCTACTCTGGAAGTTCTGTGACACTATGACACATCGATAAAAAAAAAATTTAACAAATGCGCGTTTAAGAATTTAAAAAAAAGATACAACTTATAACTTGACGTTAATAAAAACTGGCCACCCTCACCACTCAAGTTTCTTGTCCACATCAAGCGGTCCAATCCTTGGCCTTTCCCATGTTGGGTTTCTAAATCCAATTGTCAAACATTTTCACATAAGGCCTATTCAATTTTTTTTTCTTTTTTAAAGCCCTGAGAAACGTTTCTGTTCCTTGACCGCACGAACTGTTAAAAATGTCATTATATTGTTATTAAAATATTTCTTTTGACACTTACAGCCTCCTTAATTTCTTATACAAGATAGAAGGTGAAAGCAGGAACGTAACTTTAACTATGACCTAACTTTAAACGCTCTTGATTAGACTAAAAGAGCAAATACAGACATTTTGGACTAAAAAAGAACATTTAACTCTGTCAATCACACTTTACTCCACAAATTCATTAAAATAGGAATAAAGAGCACTGTTACATTTCGATCTAGGTTGCATACTTTTCTTTACATATGTAGCTTTTCCCGTAAAAAAAATTTTTTTTAATAAAAAACGTAGTAAAAAGTATAAAATTTAAACATGTAAAGTAAAATTCCTCTATATTTGCGGGTTTTTTAAATATAAAATAATTGGGCGCTTCAAAGACCATATTAAAATTTACAATTGTATAAAATTAAATACAAAGACCAAGGGTTCTTCTTTTAATTTTAATTTCATTTATATTAAAAAGGTTGAATTAAAATTAAACTAATTGGAATTTAAAAAGGGTTAATTTTAAATTTAAAAAAGGGATAAATGCATGCCTTGAAAATTGAAGTTAATTTCACAGGCAAAAAAAAATATATATATAAGAAAAGTGTTGGGTAAAAGTCTGTCTCTCCCTCAGTCATTCTATCTCTCTCTCTCTCTCTTTCTCTCTCTCTCTCTCTCTCTCTCTCTCTCCCGCTCTCTCCCTCCCTCCCTCCATCCCTCCCACTCTCTCTGTCTCTCTCTCTCTCTCTCACTCGCTCTCTCTTTCTCTTTCTCTTTCGCTATCTATTTCTCTCTCTCTCTCTCTCTCCCTCCCTCCCACTCTCTCTCTCTCTCTCTCTCACTCGCTCTCTCTTTCTCTTTCGCTATCTATTTCTCTCTCTCACTCTCTCTCTCTTTACCTCTCGTTCTCTCTCTCCCTTTCTCACTCTCCTCTCTCTTTCTCTCTCTCTCCCTCCCCCTCTCTCTGTTTCTCTCTCTCTCACTCTCTCTCTTTATCTCTCTCGTTCTCTATCGCTCTCTCTCTCTTTCTCTCCCTCTCTCTCTCGCTATCTATTTCTCTCTCTCACTCTCTCTCTTTATCTCTCTCGTTCTCACTCTCTTTCTCTTTCTCTCTCACTATCTATTTCTCTCACTCTCTCTTTCTCTTTATCTCTCTTTCGTTCCCTATCGCTCGCTCTCGCTCTCTCTCTCTCTCACTCTCTCTCTCTCTCTCTCACTCTTAATAAACTTAATAAATAACGATTTACAAATAGTAGCAGTTCGAATTTTCGTACACTTTCATTGTACAATATGTTCTATTTATCTCCCCCCAGGGCAAAGTGCGGACGCAAATAAACTAAAAAATGTGATTCGACAACTCCCACGTAGGTCACATAGTCGATCGCTAATAGTTCAGTTTAACCTTAACATTTCTGAACACTGGTTCCCAACTCACTTAAATGCGAGATCGGGAAAACTCTCTGTCATCGACCTAAGCCCAATAAGCCCAACATCGCACTCCAGAATAAATTGGTTCACTCTAGAAGACACTCATTGAGTGATCGTTTTTCTGTCATAATTCAGGCATATAGTTCCAGACAAACAACGTCCAGTTAAACGGAACATCAGCAGAGCTGACTAGTCTATACACAAAGAGAGCGTTGATCTCTCAAACTTGAACCTTAACCAACGTTGACGTATAATGGAAAACTTCATCCAAACACTTACCGATGCTGCTCTGTCTCCCATACCAAGAATAAATGTAAATAACAGAACAAACCAAAGGCCAGTGTCATGGTGGAATGAAGAATGCGAAAGAGGTATAAAAAAAAGAAAAAATCCCTCAAGAAATTTCTTCGGAGTCCGTCAACAATAAACCTACATTCCTACAAACAAGGAAACTAAAAAACCGTTATATTATTAAAAAACATAAGAAGTTAGCATGGCATAATTGTTTAGCCAAAATAAACATTATCAACCCAATCAATGTATTTTGGGACACGAGCCGGAGAATAAAAGCAAATGGCTTCACATCGTTCGTAAATTGTCTGGTTGATCAAAATAAATACATTGACAGGCAAAAAATTTCACCCACTTGTAATATAACTTCATTTGATTATATTTTTATATATTAATCAAGTTTCATGTTTTTTAACGTTTAATAATTGAGTCTTTGTCTAAAAAAGTATAAAAATGTAAATGGAAATAAAAACAAATAAATAAGAGGGGCAGATAAAATTTGTTTTCATTTTTTAATTAATATTTAAATATCGCCTATTTCCTCCTCTTGCCTTAATTATATCTCGAAGGCGCCTTTATTACTAGTAGCTAAAGACTACTTGATTATACTTTCCACCAAACTGGAAATGTCTCTTTGCTGTAGGTTAGCACATTCTTCACGAAGAGTCCTTTCAACATCGAAGTGATGGACGTGCTCTTATTTTGAGGTTTCCTAGTAGTATACTAGTAGGTTTCCTATTTAAAGGTAACGAATTAATTAGTAACAGTACTAATAAAATAAATTAATACAAATAGAAAATACATAATCTCTTTTGCATTGTAAGGCGCCAGTAATATTTTGTTTTTCCTTAATTTTTATAATAATTACAATTAATAACAGGGTTTAATATGTTTGCCATATTTGAAGCTATTAGAAGAAATGAATTAACTGTCTCTCACTAAAGGTGTAGGTCCATCAGTCCTGAACTACAATTCTGTATTCACATATTTTCCATGATTTGTACGAACACATGGAATCATGGATATTTAACCTATCTCCAGTTCTAACCCATTTCTAACCTTAACTAACCTAATCCTTCGGTTGGTAACACGAAAATGGTGACTAAGTTTTAAACGGGCTGGAATGAGCCAATGTCATGATTCACCCTACTTATAACCCTGACAATATCCATATATCCAAGAGGATGTGAAATTAAGTTGAGCTTGTTTAACTACCTAAAACAAAAAAGTGTTATATATACTCACCAAATTCCAAATGAAATTCTTGGAGCTATCCAAAGACTAATTTTGAGAAGATTCATAGCAAGTAATGAAAAAAGCGTGAATTAAAAAGCAAATTAAAAGTGGTTTGATCACAGTTATACCAAGGTTGTAAAAGTTCAGGTCATTGGAACAATGTGAAAGCTTAGTATTTTAAGCTATTTCCAAAAGCAGGTTATTAACTCTTGGTTTGTATTCAATGACTTGAACTTAAAAGGGCAGGAATGAGTCATAGTTGTTACTCACCCTGCTTATAACCCTGACGCACCAACTGGCTAAGAGGCTGCAAACCAGAGGATATAAAATTAGGATGAACTTGTTTAAGTAATTGAAAACAAAAAAGTGCTATATATTCACCAAACTCCAAATTAAATTCTTTGGACAATCCAAAGGCCAAATTTGAGAAAGTTCATTGCAAGTAATGAAAAAGCGTGAATTAAAAAAATATATATATATGGTTCGATCAGGATTATACCAAGGTTGTTTCGTAAAAAGCTCAAGAAAGTTTTGCACTTTAAACTTACTTCAGAAAGCAGCTTACTAACCCTGAGCTTTATGTTCAAGTTGCACTTTGCTGTCCATCAGACCAGATCTACAATTCTGCACCCTCGGGGAAAAACTGGATAAGTCCAAAAAGTCAACCTTTAGTTTTGCAATTTTAAAGTTTAGACCTTCGGTACAAATTCAATTTTTGTACTTTATTCCTTTTCCTTCTCAACTAACCTAATTGAGGGTCGATGAGGTACTCAATATTCCACCAGCCCTCTCATAGTACACATTCACGTTAGTAAATCCATTTTCAACACACTATGTTGAGCTATCAAGTACTGTATGCAAAACTATCAATACTATAGGCAATAAAACAACCCTGTTTCCTCCAAAAATTGGAACAGTGAACCCAGATGCTCGCTGCCGTGCTCGAGCACGATTCACATATTGGGTGGCATTCCTACACACTCTCTACATAGAGCCAAGGAATTGCACCCTTCAATTAGGTAGCATCGAAGCTTTTTCTACATGCCAGATACATACGCGGGCTTTGGCCCAAAAGTGTCTATGCATCAACCTCACATGGCCTATTCTTAATCAGGTGTGGATGACCCTTCTACGAATCAGGTCATCCGAGGGCCACCTATTGACAGTGCTCTTGATACAGGAGAGCTTTTCTGCTGATCCAGCACACCAATGCTGCCATTTTCTTGTAATCTTGGTTTTTATTACATTTTTAGTGTCAGGGGGCTTAGGATCCCCTCAAGAACTTAACTCAGCAAAGGTACGACAGAGTAGACAACTTGGCATCTTGGTCGTACGACAAGATCGTACCGCCGTAAGGAACCAGTGTGGAGTGAGTTTCCCAGCTTGAGTAACATTCCCAGTGTTTTCCTATATTCTATACCTTCCAGTGGTCTTTTTGTTATTTATATTTTTCAAGAACTCCCATAATTCTTACATGGGCTATAATTTATATTTTCTTGCATTTTGATAAAAAAGACCAAAACTGCACGTCAGCTGCAAAACTGTTCAATAATTACAGTATTATTAATGGAACACATTTTTTTTATTTATTTATTATAGAGGAAGCCTCAAACATTTTATTAGAATTACTTTCTTAATAAACTGAGAAAAAAAGAATATAATTTTAAAAATTAACCTAAAAAAATGTAATTATATTGTGCAATACTTTTTTTTTGTAAAATGACACTGTTTTCATTCATTGTCATTTTTGTTTTGTTATTGCTTCAGTTACTGCTAGAGTCAGCAGCATAGCTTTTAAAAATTTAATTTTTTTTTTTTTGCCTTATGATCTATGCATATTAGCCATGGTGACAAATTCTTATAAGTGTGTTCAAATGGGGGGGGTTTATCGTGAAAAAAGGGCCAGAGGCGACGGAGGGAATCGAACCCACGACCATGGCGTGAGTCTCTCATGCTAAGCACTCAGCTACCGCGTCCCCTAACAATTTAATAAAGAGGTGAAATGACAGCTACTTTTGGGAAATTTTGTCAAAAAGGAACTGGAGGCCGAATCAATAAGGTAAATAAGGAATAAAAACAAAATAGATTAAACATAATATTACAATCATTTTACTTCAAATGACTATGATCTGTTACAACCAATGCAACTTGTGCAAACAATTGTAAAAATTCACCGAACTGCACATCTCACCTATTTTGAAACGAGTTTGTGAACAATCAAAATGTGCAATGATTAAAAACCAGTGACTATTTGGGTAACTGGTAACTAAAAGTTTCAATTCCAACCACTGTTCTATGAAAATAATAAAACAGTTTGTCGAAATAAAAAATATATAACTTATTTCCAATTTACAATAATCTATAACTTCTCTTGGTATATGAAAAATAAAATATATCTATAAATTTAACAAAAATATTTTGGTTTTTAACCATGAAAAAACAACTTTACAATATAACAGACTTATTAATAATTAAGCCTTAGTCAACTAAAACAGTTGGTCCCCTTATTCTTAGTGACTAAAAGACACTTTTGGCATTAGTGTATTAACACAAAATAAATTTTGTTCAAAACATTAACAAACCAGGAGAAAAAAAAATGTGCAAATCAAAAATAAAGTATTTCTTTTTAACAAAACAATATAGATAGTAAATTAACAAACAAAATAAATGCACAATCTCTTGAATGTGAATAACTTTTTAAACTAGGCGATGATTGCAAATCTGAGGTAACATATGCTTAAACAACTCACAACATTTCATAAAACAACGTATGTATCAACGTTACTCAAAGAACTTTAAAAACTCTATTTATGCATCATCTCACTAAGCTGGAATCAAAACACTGGTGACAAAACCACAAGGAACAATTATAGAACAAACCAAATATCACAAAACCATACTTTTTTTGTTAACTTTATAACAAAAATTTGCACTTTTTCAATTTTTAATATTGAAACCTATACTATAAATTAACTCATATGTGTACAAAAGTTTGATTTAAAATATACTATTTAATTATGCTTTGTAAACACCTTAATCAACTCGAAAAATGTTCAGTTTTAATTATCAAAATAATTATGGAATGTACCAATTGAAACGAACATGTAATAAATACACATAAATACAATAGCTTTTTCAAATGGTGTGTTGTCACATGTCATTACTACCTTTTTAATTACACTTAATAAAATTAAAAAACAAATAAACAATATAATTTATCGAACAAATGCATTACGATATAATTACAAAAATAGAAAAACTATTTAATCAAGCAAAGTGTTTACAAATTTTAAAAATGAAGACTTTACAAGTCCAAAGCATAATGTGTATGATTTATTTTAATTTTCTCACCGTTTATTTTTTCCTTTTTTTTCTGAGTGTATTTGTACTGTTTCAGTCTTTAAAACAACGAATGCACAAAATCAAGGAATGTATATATAACAGCGGTATATTAATGGGTGAAACCTGAAGTTCCTGATGTTAAAAGTCTACTTTTGTACAAAATTAAATAGAAAAATACTGATTAAAAATATGCATACTATAACGTTGATATAATGTAATAATAAATTTTGGAAACATTTCCCTTTTTAAATATTACAAGTGATAAGGCAATTTTTTTTATTTTTAAATATTTTAAATCCAAATGTCACTACTAAAACAAATTAATATCTTTCTAAAACATTTTACGGTAAGGCATTATGGTAATTATGATTAAAACCTGGGTAACAAGGCTTCCAGTTGAGGAATTCTTTATCAAGATCTGAAAGCGGTCGACAATTAGGATGATCACAACCGTATAGGGATTTGTACACTTTATGAATTGCATTCCGTTGCACGACGTCCAAGTGCCGGTGGCTTTTTGATGTCTCGTGGTCATGCAACTCGTCCAGAGAAGCGAAACTTTTCTGACAAAGGACACAGTGATGGATTTGTTTTGGATGGAAAACATGTTCAGCATCGACCTGATGATAAAAAAGATACCATGTCATTAATTATCCCAGATTTAAATTGTACAAGTTATTTCTTGATAATAATCATGTATATAAGTCTGATATTATAACTTAATAATAAATTTGTTCCTAGCAAAACCTGTAAGTCTTATATGATCAATACTTCATACCACAGAAATACTCAAAAAAAGGATCAAATGATTCCAAAAGAGAACAATGCGTGTAGGCAGGGGCTAAAGGACCAAATTTTGACCTCGCAAATTCTCAAAGTCCCACACCGTCAATTTTTCAAGCTGAGATCCATTCAATAGAAATCTGTGCACAAGAAATACTGAAATAAAGCTCCTTTATTTTATATTTAAAAAAATCACAAATATAGAGGAATTTTACTTTTCATGTTTATATTTCATACCATCTTCTAAGTTTTTTTATTACTTTAAAGAAAGGGTTAATTTAAATGCGGTTCAGCGGCCGGTGGTTCAATAAACGGTTGAAGTAGTGAGGAGTTGTCAGGTTATATGTATTTAATTTTTTTTTCATTTTATTACCAATGTTTCAACCTTTATTTGGGTCATCTTCAAGGCCTGGGTAAATACAATTAATTACAAAATTAATTGCATAAATTTTCCAGCCATGTACGTTGGAATAATAAGCCCCGAATTAGAAAATCCCGACAATCCCCATTTACGACTCCATTTGAGTCAAAAAAGCCGCCCACTTCCAAAGAAAATTTTCAATCCATACCACCTTCTCCACCCTACCACAACCTTATAAAAACAGCAGGATATAAATTCACATTTCACAACAATTCATTAATTTCGTGGTCCGCTTGACCAATTAATATATTACAATTAATTAAGGTTTTTTTCAGTTGAGATAAAAAAGTCAGTGTCACGAGCGGGATTCGAACCCACGATCTTCAGCTTGATACGCCGCTGCTCAACAACTTGAGCTATCATGACCTCGATCCACTCGGACACTAACTTCCTATCTCAACCTTACCTTTTGAATTTTCCCTCCTTTTTGGCATTTTTAAAATGTCATGTAATCGGATTGGATTCTTGACGACAAATGAAATGGCCACTGAGAGCATTAGTGAAGTATACTTCATTTTAAATCATTAAATTCACTAATTTCGTGGTCTGCTTGACCAATTAATAAATTACACTTAATTAAGGTGTTTTTTTTTAGTTGAGATAAAAAAGTCAGTGTCACGAGCAGGATTCGAACCCACGATCTTCGGCTAGATATGCCGCTGCTCTACCACTTGAGCTAACGTGACCTCGATCCACTCGGACACTAACTTCCAATCTCAACCGCACCTTTTGAATTTTCCCTCCTTTTTGCCATTTTTAAATGTCGTGGAATCGGAACAACAATGTGTACACTTAACAAACACGACACTACAGGAAAACACTATACTTTATGTGAGTATGGATACTTTTATTAAACTAACATTCATCATTATATTAACATAATCATTTACATTTTTTTTTTGTATAATTTATAAACAAATTTCACAATCATTTATTATAACTTATTAAATTTTAAATAATGTTTAGATGCTGAGCACCAAAAAACATACTGTACTTCAGTGCCCAGTACACCATGTTCCTTTTTATTTCCCCATTAAGGTTAAAGTAAGATATATCAAATTTTCAATTTTTGTGCAATTGTTTTTTCATGTTTTTAATTGTTGTTTTTTATATGATAATAAAACAGGCCCTGAAGATGACAGTATAAAAACTGTCGAAAGCTCGGCGAAAACTGAAAGGAAGTTTTTTCCTCTGTGTTGACCTCTTCCGTAGATCCTCCAAAAAACTTCATGTTTCCAGCAGGTCGATAACCTAGCTCATCGTTACAATCATTTTCATTTCATAATCAACATATTTGTAATTTACCCAGACCTTGAAGATGACACAAATGAAGGTTGAAATGTCTCCAATGAAATGAAAAAGTGTTTTTCCGAAATACATTTAACCTGATTGCTCCTCAGTACTTCAACCACTTATTGACTAATTTAATGTTGAAAGGGGTAAATTTGAAGTTAAGAAGGATTAATTTGAAGGAAAAGAATAAGAAGAATATAAAGCTATGAGCAATACAATTCTGACTAAAACATATGGTGAGGATAGATAGAACGAGAAGGATAAAAAACAATCAAGCTGAAGACACAGCTACAACTAAATCCTTCTTTTAACGCTGTAGGACCCAATAAATCAAATTATTGCAAAAGATTTGTGTATATAAAAAAAATGTTTTTCACATTATATTTGGCTTAAAAACTAATAAATTATTATTTATGGGAAAGAAAGCATACCTGATTCCTTGAGAATGTGGTGCCGTCGATGTCAAGATGATCACCATTGTTTTTGCAATCAGTCGACAGTTGTTTTTTTAATAGGCAATTGTTCGAATTAATGCAGACATCTTTAATGAAACTTCTGTATCCTTCGCCTTCGCTTTTTTTAATGACCATTTTTGGTATTCTTTCTTCAGAAGCATCACTTCTTTTCAGTATTAATTTTCTTGTGTTTATAACAGCTTTGAAAATGTTCAAGTTTGCAGAGTTGTTACATTTCCCTTGCATCTTCCCATTTCTCGGAGAGAGTGTCAGGTGAATTTTCGCAGGTCCGAGTTCTAAAGAATCCTTTTGGAATACATCATTCTGTTCATATAATGTTTTAAAGATGTTATCCCATGTTAGACTGCACTTGATGCTTTCTTTTTGGGAAATTGTCTTGATATTTTTAAAATGCCATTTAGTCGAGCCGATTTCTTCAGCACCCTTAATGATTATCTGCTTAACCATCTCGGGTTCTTGGAACGAGCAAGTGAGATCAGGATCAATTTTCGCTTTGCCGGCTGTGAAAAAATTGGCAATTATGTTACGCAACTTGGTGCTGGAGTCACCAGCGAGAACCTGCGATGGTTCATTTATTTTAACTTCTCCTTTCTTTATCGGCTCGACAATGAAAGACGCTGACAGCTCGTTTTCGATACAACTCCTTTGAAGCTGTTCACAAACCAAGGATTCCATCTGAACAGATTTGTACTCTTCCAAAGACTTCAGCCCGGTGTAGTTGTTATTTATGTTATCCTGACACTTTCCGCTTATATGAACTTCATCGGCCAATATGCTGTTCACCTCACAGCGTCTATAAGAATGACTGTCTGTCTGATAAATAACACAATTGACTTCACAGTTAGTTTTTGAACACTCTGTCAAAATATCCAATGTCTTTGGACAGCCTATCAGATTATTTTCTGAAGCCACCTTCTTGTAAGATTTCCTTTTATTAGAGATAGTTTTTGTATTCCGTTCTTTATTTTTCTTTTTTTTAATAACACATTTGAATATCAAATGGTGTTTGATTTTCCAGTAGAGAAGAGCATTTGGCTTAAAGCTATTATGACTAGAATTAGAAATCAACTTGCGTTTATTGCAGCTTTTCAGTTCAGATTTTATTTTCTCTCTCGTCAAATTGGTCTCAGAGGCATTCAAAATTTTAACATCCTTACTTAAATTCTTCTCAGACTCCTGACTTGAAATACTCATAAGGTTATCTGCACTGACTTCACCTTGTGACGAATCACTGCTGTCCTCGGACAAATTCAGATCTTGGTAACTAAAAGCAATCTTTTGTAGGCCATTACTTTCTTTACTTTTCTCCAGTTTAGAATCATTTCGATTTGCAACAGGTTCAGATTCACTTGGTTCATTTTCCATAAGAATTTCATTAAACTGTACTTCAGTTTCTTGGTTTTTTTCAATTTTTAACCCACTGTCCTCTCCGGCGTTTTCATTTATCCCTTCAAATGATTCTTTTTGATCAGTGACCAAATTGTCCATACTAAATTCATTTTCATACGTTTTTATCTCACTGGTATTAAGTACACAATTGATTTTGGAAATATCTAAATTATTTACAGATTCGTTTGAATATTTTAATACTGGGTCGTTTAGTGTGTTGTCAGTAGGTTTAACCGTAGGATCTTTAATGGATGTTCCATTCGCCGAGTTAACACAATTATTTAGCTCATTCATGTTAATTGAAACATCATCGATTAATGAATCGCCTGAAGACAGACTTAGTTCTATGTCTTCAGAACTGACTTCCATATTATCATGTTGGACATTTTCTAATTTCTCAGCATTACTGGTTAGGCCTTGTACGAAACAATTAGATTCTTTTAAATTGTTTTCTATAATCCGTTCAGTGACTGTATGTAAGGTTGAAGAGTTTAAAATATCTTTATTGTTCATGTTAGGCTTGTTATACATCTGCATGTCGCACTCGGCTTGCTCGATTTTGTCTTTTCTTGTGTGATCTATGGAAGTATCAGTTGAAGGAATCATGTTGAAAGGTTCATCATAACCCAGCCCAGGTGTTTGAGAATCACAATTGTTTTTAGCTTGAAACTGTAACTTGTATTTCCCTGAGTGTGTTGATTTAGTGTCGATTTCATTTTGATTTTGTACAAATTTGGTCTTTGTCTTGTCTAACAGCTGAGATTCATCGTTTTTCAACTCTACAGGACCCAATTCATCCGGAAAACTCTCAGCTACATTGAAAGCCATCTCAGATACATTGCAATCTTGTAAAGTCGGATTTACAGGCATAACAATTTGAGATAGATCCGATTTTTCATTGATGACAGAGTTATCATCATTCTGAGGCTCTTCATGAGAAAGAGGATGCACAATGTTCTTCTGTTTTTCTTCTTTTTTCCTATTTATATCATCAAATAAATCATCATTTTCTAAAGAGGCACTTAGGTGGTACTGAGAGTTGGTTTTGAACTCTTTCAAATTATTCTGGCAAACGTTATCCGTCATAGCGCATTGAATTGGAGGCATTGTTTTCTGCATGCTATTAACAGCCGGTGGGGTTTTAAATATCCTAGGGTTGCAAATTTTTTCAATGCTTCTTTCAAAAGGTATAAAACTTACATCTTTTTCAGGCATCTGTCCCATCTGTTGTGTGTCTCCTAAATGATCGATATTAGCATTGCTAGTAATTCCAGACATTATGGATGAATTATTCATGTAAGGCTGCACGTAAGTCATAGGAGGGTTTGTCGCATCCATAGAAGCATCATTTTTATTATAGTACGGACTTGTCAGTGGCTTGTTGAAGTTGCAGTTTTGTACCAGGGTGTCGTTTCTTTTGGTACAATCTAACGGTTCATATGGATCTGTATTGAAACTGATGGAACAGCCTGAATTCCTCAAATGGTCTGATGATTCCGCTACGTCTTCATCTTTGTCTTGCCATGTCGCAAGGAACTGGCGGACATCGATATTGGGCAATGCCGATTCAACTTCTGGTGTCTGGTAAAGGTTGCAAGGAGGGAACTGATTACTTGGATACTGATTATTTCCATGCATATAATCATGCGTATTCGGCTTTTTCAATGCGACCCTCGGTTTACCGGTCCTGTAATAATCATAGTCATACCTACTTTGCGGTATCGGTCTATGGACGTACGAATGTCTTTGATGCTGGGTAGAACAAGTCCGTGAGGTTGTGTAAGGGTTGACAGGTACATACTGCGATATAGGCTGTGATGCTTGTCTTGAGAAAGAATTACTCTGAGAATATGAAAGTGGCGGGTAAGGAATAGATCTGTATTGTCTCGGTATCGACGGTTGTTGGCAGCAAGTGTCTGTACATAATCCTGGATGCTGATAAGGCAAATTGTAAACTTGCTGAGGGTAGAAGTTCATAGGGGGTCTGAAAGGCCACGTTTGGTCCTGCTGCGACTTTGCCATTCCAAAGCTCTGGCACCTACAAATGAAAAAATTATTTTTTAGTATAAATTATGAAATTACAATTATAAAAATATCTGATATTTGGATTTTTAAAGTTGATGTTCTATAGGTATAAATATTTTTAAAACCAAAAGCCTTGGGCTACGTAGTTTGTTGATTTTGAAAATGGCAATGAATTAATCAAGGAAACAATAAACCAAACCGCCAAGCACATTAATATATAGATATATATATATATATATATATTTTTTTTTGGTAAAACGATCCAATCCAGCCAACATTTCCCCACCAGCAATGAAATTTTACAAATATACTTGATGTTAAACTACTATAAAAAAAATTTTGTAATAGCTAACAACTTTAAATATTTGAAAAAACAAAACATTAAACGTAAGTTATTACTTTAAAGAAACCATTAAAAATTAGTTTAAAGATTCAACTTTATCAACTTTTTAAAGGATGAATTAATAAAAATAAATACTTTGTATATATTGAATAAGACAAATTTTTAACATTCTATAGTGGTCAATAAATTGATCCAATAAAACCATTATTATCAGAAGATGGTATTTCTTTGTGATTTTAAAGTGAAATCAGCCAGTACCCAAGGGTAGAACAAAGAGTCCATTAATATACTGTTATGATTCATATAGAAATTCAGCCTATCTTGATATGGTCTTTTCTTGATAAAAAAATCTAAACAGACCGGAGAAATATTTCTGCTGATTCAGGCATCAAATATGAACTTAATTTCGTTTTCAAATTTTAAACAAATCTTTTTTTTAATATGTTTATTTAGGTGCCACCCTTGAATGAATCTTTTCAGTAGGTCTGCCCCAAGTGAGACTGACGTGTTAAAAACAACATTCACTCTTCTGAAAAATATATAAATATTATAAGAAAGATCTGTTATAAACACTGGATGATGCAAGAATGATCCGGCATTGGGTCTGCGAAAATGCGTTTCGGCTTTGTACCATTTTGAGTGAGGAACTGTCTCGGCAGCATAGAGAAAATGAGCTTCAAGCACGAAATCATGAGGAGTCATCAGTGACAGGAGTATCAAACAAATAAGAAATACAAGAATGAAATAAAAATTATTGCAAGCAATAACAGACAGAGCTGGAAACACAGCAGAGCATAATAATAAGTTTCAGTATTGAGTTGTATATGAGTATTTTGTTGTCAAGGGAGAGTTTAGATCTGTTGTCTAGAACTCTTTTAAGTAATCATTATCGTCGGTCCTTTTAAGTCATCTATGGCGATTCCAGGTGAGTCGTTTATCTAGATACCACTAGGTTTTTGGGGGAAGAGGAATTTGTGTTTTGGGACTTTGTGGTGTTTACTTTAATTCACATTCTTTGAATAATTGTTCAATGGAATATGGGTGTGTCTGTAGGGTTTGATGAGCTACGATGAGGCTGGAATTAGGAAAGAACAATGTGTTAAGATAGTGGTGTTGAGATGGGAAGAGGTATCAGCAGTGTATACTGAGTACAGTAGTGGGCCAAGGATGATACTCTGAGAGACTCCCACATCAACCCTGTAAAAAGGATAGTGGAAGATCTCATCACTATAAAGTACCTGTCAGCCAGATAGGATTTTAAGGAAGTGAGTAGAGTGTAGTATGCCCTTGAGTTTCCAAAGCAAACCCAGGGGCCAGGCTCAACCAAAAGCCTGTTCGACAACAAGAAAGACTCCCGAGTTGTTCTTTCTTCTTAAGGGTGCAATTGTCCACAATGCAATGACATGTTGAACAGTGGAATGGTGACGCCTAAATCCAAAATGATGGTCAGGGATTGTATTAGAAGATTCGTGGATGGGGTAGTTTGTAAAGGAGTTTACCAATAATTGGCTTCAAATGCAAACAATTCAACATAATTTAAGTATTATTATTACAATAATTTAAGTACACATAAATTATGTTGTTATGAATAAATGAACTCGTGTGATTTACTCCTGTAGTACACGGAATGTTATACTGATAATTTGATCCTTATCGATGATCCATGCTGAAACGTCTCTGACAGACCAACCCAGGCAGACCAAGATAATCAGTAATGATCAAATTATAATAAATAAGCTGTTAAATTGTTTTTATACTGAATACTATGAATTATACTTGTGCGCTAGAAGAAATAAACACTTCATTATTATTAAGTTTTTAGTTGAGATGAAAAAAAGTTAATGGCACGAGAGGGATTCGAACCCACGACCTTATACGCCGCTGCTCTACCACCTGAGCTATCGTGACCTCGATCCACTTGGACATCAACTCCCCATCTTATGAGTTTTCCCTCCTTTTGCCATTTTTCCTTTTTTCATCTCAACTAAAAACCTTAATTAATTGTGATATATTAATTGGTCAAGCGGACCACGAAAGTAGTGAATTATTATTAAGGGTTTCATATTAGGCTATATTAACCCAAAATGTTCTAATTAGTGGCTGAGAAAATTCCCTTTTGACGTATTCATGCAACCCTGTATTAGCTTATGTTTTAACAGAACAATTTATGCAATTCACTTTCTTGAACAATCTGGCATCTGACAGACTGACCAAGTGAGGATAGATAGACCTGGATGATCTGTAATGACCCAAGTACAAAAAAAAAGTTGTAAAAAGATAAGGCTTTCTAAATAAATTTAAACATTATACATTAAAAGAGATATTTCACAGGAAATAACAATTTCAATTTACTTCACAATCATGCAGGAAGTTCTATGTAATTTAAAATGATTATAAAAAAGAATCTAAATGGAAAAAGTTCAAAGATAGAAGTTTTAATTTATAAGGAAATTAACTTACTTAGAGGAGTTTGATTAGTGACTCAAAGCAGTACGCAAGCCAAATAAACAACAAAATCTCAAAAACAATTGTTAAAACAAACAGTTTAACTCGTTACACCCATTTTGAAATAAATGTAACAATAAATTAAAATAAAATTTGCTAGCTTAGAGATAGAATGTTTCTCCGCCTAAGTCAACGGAACGACTGATCGACTTAAAAGATTGAGAATGAAACTGACTCAGCAGTTGTAAGTAGCAGTATTTATCTCCTTATCTCAACCACAAATGCAAGAAAGGGGTAAAATGTTTTTTTCCAATTTTAAGGTTCATATTTATTACTTACTAAACTGACAAATATTTTTAACTTAATTTTATAACTTTAAGTCACACGTTCTGTTTTGTTGCATATTAAAAAAAAAAAATAAATAAAAAGAGTACCCTATAAATTAAGTCAGTAGTCCTGCTGCACCTGTGAACAAATGATCCTTCAGAGTTCATGATGGAATGTTATAAGTTCATTCTGGGGCATTTTTTACCCCCTGGTGACTTTTTTTTTTTTTCGCTGGGGTAGCGCAATCGACCCCACTGTGATTTTTGTCTTTCAGCTTGAATTAAATAATTTTTTTCATATATTTTCTTCATTTTCCCTTCAAAGCATGATGTAATATTAGTTTATGACTCTCCGCATCATTAGTTTACTACCTTTTTACAGTGGTTATTGGTCTAAATTTGCTTATAATTGCTCTTTTCTTTTAAATGATTGAAAAAGGCCATGGTTTTGACTTTTATGTGCCCTAGTTAGGCACTGTTAATGCACACCTAGTTTCGCCTGAATTCACCTTCTAGTTTTATAGAATAATTGGCAAATGCTATTGTTTCGTCTTTTAGGTACAGCTATGTTTGCCTTCTTCAAAAGACAAAAAACAAACAAAGTCTACCACGAATATCATCTTCATACATGCGAGACCCATTCAGTTTCTGTATTAACAGCAGATAAACCATTAACTGAGTTGGCAAAGAGGTTTTTACAATTGAAATTGTGTGTTAAAATTAAAAAAATGACACGTTTGACCCCAGCGTGACCACCATGCTTCAAAAATATAACAGTGACCTTGGGTCTTTGAGAAAATTCCTTGTTAAATATAAAACCATAATATCCAGAAATTGTGTTATTACAAACCTGTATTTTAAGCACTATTAGTTCTCATATTTTAAAAGGTAAGCACACCACATAGAGACGGGAGATTAACATACAGGGTTAAAATGAATATTGAAGCAAACAACTATTTAGTTGGACATTTTGTCTTTAGAAGTTGAGATCAAAATTTTACAAGGTAAAAATTATTAATTAGAATAAAGGTTATGTTATTAAGCGTATTCTTTAAAAGCATGTGTTTTATCTATTTTGCTCCGTGTTAGAGAAGAGTACTAATTAGGGATGTTTTAGACATGAAAGAAGCATACAATGGAGTCTGGACCAGGAATTCTCTACAAACTAAAATAGATCTTACTCTACCTAACAGATCACTGCTTAGGAGTAAAGAATGGGTTCTCTACGATAAAACCGACCCAAGCTGTCAAATGACATCGCAATATTACGTACAGTTAATTAAGGTTTTTAGTTGAGATAAAAAAGCCAATGGCACGAGTGGGATTTGAACCCATGATAGATATGCCACTGCTCTACCACTTGAGCTATCTTGACCTCGATCCACTCGGACACCAATTTCCCATCTCACCTCACCTTTTTGCCATTTTTGGTCAAGCGGACCACGAAATTAGTGAATTACATACAGACATGAATCCCATACTAGCCACTGCCAATATCTAAGAACACCTCGAGTTCTTCGAAGAATGGTGCAAAAAATGGAAATGAATAAGAACAAATGCACCCGAATCACTTTACATTAAAAAAGCAGACTTGCACTAGACTTTATGCCAACAACAAGGAATTACCAACATCAACACAAGCAAAATAATTAGGACTATGTTGACCGGCATTGAGTCTGTCTACACTCACGGGTTTTGATGATACACAAAAACAATTCGATTTTCTGCCATCTTCAGTGAGAAACATCAACATAGTTCATGTGTTCACTGACTCACAGACAAACACCCATCTTCAACTTAGGACTATACCTTGACAGCAGACATGGAATCCCACACTAGTCTAAAGCGACAAGAACTTAACAGAGGACTTAGACAATTGGACAACTAAAAAGACTGCTA